AAATGTTACAGTGCTAGGTAAAATTACGCAATGGTAAAATATTTCACACGTTAGCTAAAATAATATCCTTAATATTATTTTAGTGAATTTAAGCATTACTAGAAAATAGATTTACTGTTAATTTTCCTTGGTGTGAAGTAAATATTTTCTCCAAAATAATAGCATTAATGTAGTATTAACAGAAAATGATGTTTCTATTGACCACTATTGGATACATACATTTAGCAGAATTTATAGCCAAACCGTACAATTGGTTACATCAGGGATAATTTATCCCTCGGTTTTCCAAGCTACTTATAGTTTACAATAGTGACACAAATAGCTGCAGAACAAGGTTACCATAGTAACATAGTAGATCAGTCAAATATTATTCATACAGCACTCCACCAATGGAGGAACTGGAATAAAAAGCTTGATATGTTAATGAGACTCACTAAAGGAGGATGGATATGTGCTACATGAGAATGGGGATTAAGGAAGACTTTAAGAACCCTTTATAGTGGGGAATGGCTGTGACATCCCTAGTTAATGAACTGGTATATTTTATTCTGTAGAATCTTCAAGATTTGCCAACAGAACTGTCTCACTGAAGCATTGCTTTCTTCCTAGAAAATTACACTGCCAGACATCTTTGTGGTGTTTTCCTTGTGATTTTTGCACTGTATATTTTGTCGGTGAATTCAAGGTAACACATGCTGTGGCTCCAAATCTCCAAAAATGTGACTTTGATAATCAAATCTATGTAACTGAATTAATTTAAGATGAGTTTAATATCTGTGGCTTTTTTATTTAAAATTAAATATATAAAATTGTTTGCTACTATAATTCTCAGTGCATATCTGTTCTGTAATGAAATCACAATTTTAATCAAATAGCTAAATTGCATAGTCAGGGACTATATTACAGCAGTGGTTCTCAAATTGTGGTCTGCAGACCACTAGTGGTCCGTGGCCACCTCCCAGATGGTCAAGCTTAACCTCAGACTCCCTCCGCCCCCTAAGGCAGGAAGCCTGTGCTGCCACTCCAGCCTTAGCTTCCCGCTGCAGTGGAGAGAAAGCCCTGAGCCTCACTGCGTGATCTGTCTCACAGGGAAGAAGCAGTTTCCCTACCACAGTTGGGGAACAGCAGCACATGGGCGCACTGCTTGGATGCTTTCCTTGCTGCTCCCATTGGCCAGAATCTGGCCATTAGGAGCAGTGGGATACAGTGCCTGGGACTGGTATGGGGCACAAAGGCATGTAAGTGCCCCCCATGCCCAGATCCCAGTATTGCCAGCTCCCTTGCGCACCCCCCACTGAGACCCTGCACCTCGCCCTGTTTCTGCAGCCTCCCCTCTAACCAGACACCTTACACCAGCTCATTTTGGCTCCCCTTGCTCCTGCACCCTCCTTCCTGGCCACACACTGCACTTTCCCTTGCTCTTGCCCCTCTCCATGGCCATACCCTACTCCCAGCCGGCTTCTACACCAAACTCCCATCCAGACCTTGCACCTCACCCCCCCCCCCCCCCTGCATCTCACCTCCTGCCCACCTCCTGCACCTCCTTCCCTCTTGCTGGTAGCCATGTTCCACATACTGAACTTGCCATTTTTCACCCAACCCCAGAGCCTAGGGTGGGGCCCACAAAATCCACTAACCCTGGAATCCCAGGAGAGTTAATTTGGTCTATAGGAAGTTCTGAATCTCAGTCCTCTTTGCTCCTTCCCTGTCCCCAGGTAGGGCTGGAGCACCAGAGAAGTGAAGTGTTTCAGTTGGTGGCCACATCAATGAGGTCTGGAGATTTTTGGAGGTTTTTTTTTCTTTTGCCTCTCACTTGTGTGGTCCCCAACTGATTTTTCTGTGGGACCCTGCCCCCTGACCCAAAAAAGGTTCCCTACCCCTGCCATTAATAAAGTAAACAACAAGGCAATTTTTTTTGTTGGACATAAATTAATATTTAAAATGAAGTTTGATAAATTAATATAAAAAAGTTTAAGTGCTTACTCTGTTTAATAATTAACATTAATATTTCCTTTCTTCCTGGTTAAATTAAACCGTTTTCCTTAGCTGCATCACTAGCAAAATGGCTCGAGCGTAATTATGTAATTAACGACAAGTTTCCATTAGCAACTCATAGTCCATGAAAAGGTTTGTATTGACCCAGCTGGGCTATGGGCCAAAAAGTTTGAGAACCATTGTATTTCAGGTAAGAGTGCAGCATTTATGTTTGTGCACTGTTATTATTGAATACATTGAAATATGTACCATTTCCATTCTGACAAGCCTCCCAGTTTAAATAATCAGCATTTCTACATTCTTTGACAACGTTTATAGCTAATTAATATCATTCTATACATATTATCACATTTACTCTTAAAAAGATATGTTTATATTTGTGCATTATATTGTGTTTACATTTTTCTGTCTAAAACACTAACAACCTTTAGCACGAATATGTGCCTTTTATCCACATAACACAATGCAGACATTAACTAAGCCAGTGGTTCTCAACCGTGGGCCATATGGCTCTCCAGAGGCCACGCCCTACCTCTAGGGGACCACATGGAAAAAACGGAACATTAGGTAAATTATGTACCTTTTTTCCAGCTAACAGCGGCTATGAGGGGGGCCACAGAGGTAAACAAGGCTCAGAAGGGGGCCAGGAGCAAAAAAAGGTTGAGAAACACTGAACTAAACCACTGCCTATGGTCTTAAAATCGTGTAACAACGTATAAACTACTATCATCCAGCCTCTTGCCCTTTAATGTGACCCCTTGTAGCCAAACATTTTTTAAAAAAACAAGCAGCTGTCAAGGGAGCCATTTCAGATTTGAGTGAGGGAAAGGGGCCAAATTTTAATCTCACTGTTGGAAATTAGCCATTTAGTAGCAGCTAGGGGAGTGATTGCTCTCTACATTAACCCTTCCGTGTTGGCTGCTGTGTGTTTCTATGCTACTCTACTCCACACTACTCCAATTTGACAGCTGTGGAATCTGAAGCACAAAAGGTGTAATTGCTTTGTGACGCTGCACCCCATGTTGTTCGTAGTCCATACTATGATTATGACGTCGTTATGATGTATTTTATGCAAGATAAGTCATGTGAGATGTCATTGGAAAGGTTATGATATGCAGAATATGGTTATTCTATTTGTGTGTATGTGTCTTTTCATATCTGAAGTTATGAATATTGACCATGTATCTGTATTTCACTTGTAGTTATACCTGGGATACACCCACTAGACAAGATGGTTTCATTTTGAATAGCTGGGTGGGGAAGGACTTAGTCAGAGTAATTAGCCATTAAAAAAAGGCTTTAGGATAACCTTATATCCCACTGGGGTGCCTTCCTGAGAATGCTACTTACACCCTCCAAGTAATGGCTGCTATGACTGTCCCACAGCAATGGGCAACCAAAGCTAGTAACTGGACCATATAAGTGGCCCTCCTTCATCTCAGTGGTCCACAAGATTGAAATGGGGCATGTGCAGTAACTGTGACCCCCAAGAATAAAATTAAATACATTACACTTGGGTCTCCTTCTTATCATGCCTTTTCAACACAAAGTGATCCATTATTAGGAACAAATGAAATTGCTGGAAAAAGTAACAAAGAAGCAGAGGATCATGCAGTTCTGACAATGTTGTGTGTAAACCGCATGCAGCTCCTAATTTAAATGTGTGTTACGTCTCGTTTTGCCGTACTCCAGTACCATCACTTTCCTGAAGCCCACCTGGCCTCTTCCTTGCTTCTTCCCCTGAGCGTGCCCTATCCCTTGTCCTCCTCTTCCTCCCAGCACTTCTGGAGCACTGTGACTCACTGATTCATGGCGTTCAAGCTCTGGGAGAGAGAGGGAGGATGAGGATGGGGGTGTGGATGAGTCAAGTCACAGCATTCCAGAAATGTTGTGGGGGAAAGGGAAGAGTAGGTAAAAGGCATGGGGGGAGAAACCCAAGGGGGTTGTGAGGGCCCAACAGGCCACAGGTTGCCCATCACTGCTCTAGAAAGACATCTGATGTGACCATATCTCTAGATTTCATCTTGAGATGTCAGTATTTTTCCACAAACTGGTCTGTGAATTATGCTTTGAAACAAAGAGTTCCTGACATATAGAAAAAGCTGCATGGGAATGTATGGGCAGGGAATGACATCAGCTGTGGTTCTTCAGTTCCCACACAAGAAGAGTCCTGGAAACACCTACGGGAAGTGCTGGGCCCAGGCTAAAGGAACTCCAAGCTGTAAATAAGTGCAGCTTGTCCTTTAAGAATATGCTGCCTGCTTGTATCATCTCTTAGGTGGAGAATCTGCTATTCAGAACCAATCAGTATAGTATGTTTAGTTTAATTCACAAATTTGTTTATTTGCTAGGTAATTTCCTTTTATCTGTTTGCTAGCACTTATAATCATTTAAAATCTATCTTTTGTACTTAATAAACTTGGTTTTGCTTCATATAAACCAGTTTGTGGGAATCCTAACTCCTGGCAAAAGTCTGTTGCATATGCCTCTCCACATTGAGGGAAGGACAAATTTCATGAGTTTACACTATAAATGCCCTGTGCAGTGCAAGATAGTACAGTTTTGGGTTCATACTCCAGAGGAGTTGTGTATCTGAGGAGCTAAAAGGTTGGGAGCTGCCCTAGCTGGAATGTTTCCATGCAGGGGCTGGTCACAGAATATGCTGGTGAAAATGCAGGCAGAAAGGCTTTGTAGCTTGTCATAGAGTCCAGTGTTAAAAATAGTTCAAACTGGTGGATTGGAGGCTCAGTGGTATCCCAGTTCTAGGGGGCACCCCAGAGGGAACATAGCACAGACTTCCCCAAGATAATGCAGAAAATAACTGTCAGAACCAGGATTAGCACTCATGGAATTCCAGATTTCTAGTCCTAAACTTGGTCCATACTGCTTCTCCTTATCCACAGAAAACACATGTAACCCATCAGATACTGAAGTCTAATAAAGCTATTGAAGTAAATGGATATCAAATCAATATCAATACTTTTGATTATGTTTATTTGTAATACCTTGTTCTGGTTTGATCATCTAAAGCAGTTTTTGATCTCTCAGGTGTAGTTTGTTCTGTTTGTTCTGATGTCCTGCAACACAATGTTAAATATATGTTTAATACATGAGTAACATACTTGAATTATAAATCTTATTCCACATACGTAAGTTATACTAGTACACATAATTGTATTTCTTAAGTTTATAATACAGTAATGGGTTAGGTTTTTGGAGAAAGGACAACTACTTTCCACAGATATTTTAAATTACATATATACCACATAAAACACTAGACGATCAAGATGCTAAAGGAGTAAGATCCTAAGGATCATAAGGTTATTGCGGAAAAAGTAAAAGAATTCTTTGCATTGGTCTTCATGGCTGAAGATATGAGGGAAATTCCCAAATCTGAGCCATTCTTTTTGTGAGACAAATCTAAGGAACAGTCACAGACTGAGGTGTCATCACAGGAGGTTTTGGAACAAATAGATAAACTAAAGAGTAACAAGTCACCCAGAATAGAGGACATTCACCCAAGAGTTCTGAAACAACTCAAATGTGAAATTGTGGACTATTAACTTTGATTTGTAACCTATTCTTTAAATCAGTTTCCGTATCAAAAGGGCTCTAGTGATGATCCTGGCAATTACAAGCCAGTAAGTCTAACTTCAGTACCAGGCAAATTGGTTGAAACTACAGTAAAGAACAGAATTGCCAGACATGTAGATGAGCATAATTTGTTGGGGAAGAGTCAACATGAATTCTGTAAAGAGAAATCACGCCTCATCAATTTACTAGAATTCTATGAGGAGGTCAACAAGCATGTGGGCTAAGGACATCCACTGGATATAGTGTACTTAAATTTCCAGAAAGCCTTTGACAAGGTCCCTCACCAAAGGCTTTTAACAAAGGCTATGTCTAGACTGCAGACTTCTTTCAGAAGAAGCTTTTCTGGAAGAGATCCTCCGAAAACATTTCTTCCGAAAGAGAGCGTCCATACTGCCAAAGCGCATCAAAAAAGCGATCTGTTTTTTCGAAAGATAGTGTTCATTCAGTGTGGACACTATCTCACATTTAAGCTGTGATTACTATGGACAAAGTGACTACCAGGGCTTTTTCCTCTTCTTTCAAAATAACTCCCTCTTCCCCATCCACACACGCCTTTTTCTGAAAGAGCTCTTTCAGAAAAAGGCTTTTTCCTCATAGAAAGAGGTTTACCAATGTCGGGAAAACCCCTCTGTTCTTTCAATTTTTTTCTGAAAGAACGTGATTGCAGTGTGGACATAAATGAATTTTTTTTGGAAAAACAGCAGCATGACAAAACATTTGTTATAAATCTTAGATACTGTACACCCCAGCAAGAAAAGAAGTGCATGACATTGGCTGTAATTTAATTTCCAGACTAGCCCTAAACCAAACACCTGTGTATATAGATAGTTACTGAAAGTATGTTAATTATATCCAGGCTGAATTCTTACTTCCTGCAACTGCTGACTCTATGGACAGAGATATGTTGGGTGAGGTATTATCTTTTACTGACCCACCTTCTGTTGGTGAAAGAAGTTTTTGAGCTCTACTGTGCTCCTTGTCTCTTTCATATCTTGAGATAAACACAGCTACAACAACTCTATGGATACTCACACAGTAAAGGAAGTGTAAAGGAGGATGGGGGGGAGAAGAGCACAAGCATCCAAGAAAATGCATTTACATAGCCGTTTGGAAGTTTATCCCTGGGCAGAATACAGGCAGTCCCCGGGTTACATGGATCCGACTTACATCGGATCCCTACTTACAAACGGGGTGAGGAAACCCCACACTAGCTGCTTCCCCCCAGCAGACCAGGAGCAGACTAGGGAGACGCGGAGCGGCTTTTCTCAGCAGACACCTCAGTTTGAGATTAAAGGACTGAGGGAAGTGAGGTGTGGGAGAATAAAACTGAGCTCTGGAGAAATGTTTGGCTAGAGTTTCCCCTACAATATGTACCAGTTCCGACTTACATACAAATTCAACTTAAGAACAAACCTACAGTCCCTATCGTGTACGTAACCCGGGGACTGCCTGTATTCAGGATTATCACAGAGTTGCTATTCTATAATGAGCTAAGGGACTTGAAAGGAACTGTACTGCAGCATAGGAAAACAAACCCCACTTCTTCAGCATGTTTCTGAAGGAATCATAATATAATCACTGTATACTCCTTCTTACCGTTTAGTATCAACTGTTGTTATGGTGGTTGTATGTGGAGGGGTGCTGGGCTGCCTGTGTAAAAACATGTAATAAAAATAGTATCTGAGCATTTTTCTTTAAGAATATTTATTTGCTAATTTACCATTTAGAAAGAGCTTTGAGATATACAACATAAGCTAACAAATGGTGAAATTAGTGTGCTGCTTCACAAAAACATTCATTACAAAAGAATGGATAGCCCCTGCACAGTTAGACTATAGAGAACATCTCAATGAAAGGCCAGTTTTCAGACTGCCACTTCACAGCTCCAACAACTTGGTAAAAACAAAACAAAAGCAGTTCAAATTTATCCAGATTGCAACAAACCATGGTGAGTTGGTTTGTTGGAGATTTTAAAAAAATAATTGAATTTGTAAATAAATCCCATTTCAAGTTTTGTGGGTACATTTTTTGACATGTTGAAGATTTATTAAGCTTTGTACATACATTTTATATAGGTTTTTATGCATGATTTGTATGTGCATCATTTTTCTTTTAACTAAGAAAAGTGCATTATTTATCTATGTGCAACAATATATTTAAATTATCTACGTATAAATGAACATCTAAAAATTAGGCTTGTGAACACATTTCTAATCATCTTCCTCATTCACTCCTTCTTCCTAACAAAATCATGTTCTATGTCACTAAAAGGGTAATGCTTTTAGGCCTCAGTGTGAATTAGTGATTAGCGTGCAGCTTTGGAGGAGATCGTGTAATCTGTCATTAGTCACTCACAGGTGGCTGCTGTGAAGGGACCCCCAAATTAAGTGCCACATTCTCCCTCTTCAATCGCTCTAAGATTTCAATAAACCAATCCTTATGGCACTTCAGAAAATGGAGTGAGTGAAAGTCATCAATATTCTCCTGTCTAGTACATCCGTCCCACTGTTATTTAACTAGGGATTAAGGGAGAAGGAAATGCAATCTTTATTAGACTACCTAAAGTATCACAATGCAATAGCACTGTTGAAATTTATCCTAGATTCCTAGTCTTTTTGCTTTTGTGGATTTTCCTCTAATAATTTTTAAATTGGGTTTTTTTTCTTTTTCAATCAAACATTCTGGGCCCAATTCTCCCCATTTGAACAGCTACCCATACTTCAAGGAGAATTTTACACATATAGCTGAGAACATAATTGCCATTTAGATCCCAGTTCTCTGAATATGTGTGCACCTGCTTAAACGTATACACATGAGTAGTCCCACCGAGTTCAATTCCTATAATTTCACTTCTGCAAATGTAATTTTACTTAGAAACACTGATATCACAAAGCAATTTTCACTGGTATGAATAATTCAGAATAAAGTTAACACCCACATCTGGTGGGCGAGTGTACACATTTTCAATAATTCATCCATATTTAACATTGAGATGTGAGAAAAGATACTTTCATTCAGTCTCATTCATCAGACAGAAAGCAGATGCAGCTGTAGTATTAAAAACTAAACATTCATTTCTTACATAACTGCAGCTAATTTTAGCACAGGTTTTTCTGAACTATTTCCTAAATATTTGTTATTGGGAGCTGATTCATGGAATAAGGATCAGGCCCCAAAATAATAATAATAATAAACACCTAAATGCTATTCTTAATCCTTACCCATTGTTTTCCACACTAACGGTGATGTTCTTATAACTGGAGACTGGTGGTGGCATCCAAGACTGCCTGTTTATAGTATTAATGAATAATTCAATTACAGAGCATGAGCATGTAGTGTTTAGTGAATGAACAGCAGTTTAATTCTAGAATATTAGAGTGTCAAAGGTGATATAGAAAATGTTTATAACATTTTATACATTATCATTCTCCTTTAAAACTTATTTTCTGGGCTTTAATAGATGCTGCAATCTTGTCACACTATTCTCTTCATTCTGTTAGAGCATTTTTATGGAAATGTAATGTAATTGGTTATAAAACGAAACCTTTAATTACAAGAGTGCCATCAATGTACAAAATCAAATCTTTGGTCCAAGTTCTTCTTTGGTACAGCTCAAATGAAGTAAGAATTTAGCCAAATAGAACAGGTCTCATAAAGAACAACCAGATGAGTCAAACAATCAAGCCAATCAGATTTGGATAAACTGATATTTTTATGTGGCCTTAAAGCTCATCATCTAATAAACCATCTTGTTAGTCTTTAAAGTGCTACATTGTCCTGCATTTTGCTTCAGCTACCCCAGACTAACACGGCTACATCTCTACCACTATTGCACATTGTGAGGCATTCAGAAATTGTAGTGATGGGGGGGCATAGAAGGATCCCCAATAGGTTTCTCCTACCATTTGCCTCTCCTCTATTTAGAGTGGAAGTTCTTTGGGGCAGGGACTGCTCTTGCAATGTATGTGTGTGTGTCCAGGCCCAGCACCACAGGACTTTGGCCATGGTTGGGGACAATGAGTAAGCTATGTATGTAGAGATATTTGTGTGTCTGTCTGTGTGTGTGTGTCTTTCTGTGAGTCTATTTGGGTGTGTCTACACTACCCTCCTAGTTCGAACTAGGAGGGTAGTGTAGACATACCCTTAGATTGTGCAGAATTTTAAGTTTTCATTTTCACATAAGTTCCTAACCATCACTGCAGTAAAGAAAAATCTTCCAAATTGTGCACCAAGTGTAATTATTGCAATGATGTCTTCCCATGTCTGCAGACAGCCTAAGGAAATGACTGGAGTAAACTGTCTACTCTCCGTTAATCACATTAGGATGTTAATTCCAACACAACAACACTTTAATTTCAATGTCAATAATTTAATTACTGATCATTTTAGTATATGGAATGGAGAAGGAATTGGAACAAAACCATAAGGCACAGAATTTTGGAGTTGCTTCCAGGAATGAAATGCAGAAGAAAATGGGTATCTGCCTGCAGCCTAATTCAGTTCTCTGCTAGGGTTGCCTCCTGTGCATGTTTTTCCCAGGATTGTCATTCATTTGAGATAGAGCTCCTGGGAATTCTGTAAGAGTGTTCATTACACGCTGCCAGTTGTCCAGCTTTATAGACTCAGGATCATGCTAGATGTCCCAGTCTTCTGTATCTTAAAGGTGGCAACCCTGTACTCCATAGCCAATTCTCTCCATCTCCCAGCTATTGCCATTGAAATCAGAAAAGTTTCTCTTAGTCTCCTCTATTATAGAAGACAGTACTATTATTGTTCATTTGTACTGCAGTAGTGTGTTATGGCTTTGGTAAAAAATCAGGACCCATTGTGCTAGACTAAGCACAAATAAGCATAAAAAGAGAATTCCTACCCCACAGTGGTCTAGTGGGGACCAACCAGCTCATGATAATTTTCAGGAGCTTAATTCTTTTAAAAATAAAGTCCAAACACATTAGAGGAAGTTGTGATTCCAATATAACCGTAATACATTGATGATGCACAACAGTACTGTGTATATCCTCAAAGAGCAAAACTAAGGTGGCATTGAATACCTTTTGTGCTTCACAGGAGATGTGGTGGTGGTTGATCTATCAGGAGGAGTCCAGGACTGTCTGTTAACAAAAGAGCCTGAGATTGCTCATTGTTCTTCAGTGAAGTTATGATTTTAATCAATAAACTAAGAAATGGGATTTTTGCTATCAGAACTCTTGGAAGGGTGGAATTATAAGCACTAGTTGGTACAAATGTTGGCTAAGATTTTCAGAACTAACTAGTGATTTCAGGAGCCTCAATTTTGGATGCCCAATTTAAAATACTTTGAAGGGTCCTGATATTCAGAAGGTATTCTGAAAAATTAAAGGAAAAATTAGGTAACACTTTAAAGACTAACAAGATGGTTTAATAAGTGATGAGCTCTCGTGGGCCAGACCCACTTCCTCAGATCATATTCTGAAAGAGAATTGGCATGACCATATATGCCAAAGGAATACAAAGAAAAAAGTGAACATATTAAACTGACAAAATCAGATTTAGAACAGAATGTTCTAAATTTGTCAGTTTAATAATGTGTTCACTTTTTTCTTTGTATTCCTTTGGCATATATGGTCATGCCAATTCTCTTTCAGAATATGATCTGAGGAAGTGGGTCTGGCCCACGAGAGCTCATCACTTATTAAACCATCTTGTTAGTCTTTAAAATGCTACATAGTTTGTCCTTTTGTTTTAGCAAGATCAGATTAACACGGCTACCTCTCTATTGAAAAATTAAATCACCTTAAAGTGTCTCAAATTGGGCACCCAAAAACACTAGCCACTTGTAAATATCTTATCTGTTATATCCATCCATTTCACCGCACTATACTTTATAGCTACCAAAACATTAAAAGATCTTTTTCACATTTTGAATGATATGCTTCTTAATAGAATACTATTATTGGGGCAATGCTGTACATTCTCAATTCCCTTCATCTTCATCAGTTGTACCATAATATGCATAGGTCAGCCATCACATTATCTGTAACCAAAGCCAGCAACCACCTCCATCAGCACTAGTTTGGTTTAGCTGCTTTCTTGGTACAGTCTTATTATTAGCACGGAAGATCAACAAATTACAAAGCATGTTTACTGAGGAATGCCACTACATGGTTAGCAATCACATGGTCACCAAAAGTTTGGAGTCGTAATGAGATCACCAGTGATGTCCACAGACTGAACATCCAGTCATACCATCTTGTGGACTCAGCTAGAAAGAGATCTGGGTGGTACTCAGTTAACAAGCAACCTACATCTCTTTGCCATCATACTGATGATAGATGACGAATGCAGTACATTTAAGTATATGCCCACAAGACTATTTGACATTTAGACCTGCAGTGATTTACTCATATGAGGTTTGCATCTGATAAGTTATTGTCCTACCTTCTCAACTTTTGAACAAGTAAGCATTGATATAGTGTGGAATCTATCACAAATCTTGTTATGAACATTGCTTAGGGAACACGTGAGCCCCTGCCCACACTGTGAACTAGGGATGTCAACATATAGTTGACCATATGATTAACCAGTAGGCCTAGGCTTATCGGTTAATGTTCTTGACTACACGCATTCCCCCTTTACTGCTGTTATAGCAAGGAGGTGGGGAGCAGGAGCTGCTGCAGGAAAGCAGCATAAAAGCTGGTTCCCACCTCCAAGCACAGGTTCTGTGTTGTCACCTGCACCCTGCCGCACACTGCTGTCGGGGCAGGGGAGGCTGCCACGAAGTGCCCCCCGGAGAGAGGCTGCTCCACTGTGGGCAGAGACTGCCTTGTGACAGCAGCCCCTATTGGGGGGGGGGGGGAATGGGAAGAGGGAAGGAGGCCTTCCCAGCTCCCCATGGTCACAAGCTGCTCCACATCCCACAGAGCAAACTTTTGCTGGGGAGATCAGACCCCGCATGGACAAGGGCTGTTGACACCCCGTGCTGTATCAGAGGCAGCAGCACGGGGTGGCAGGCAGCTGGTCTGTGCGGGGAGCTGGTTTTTATACTGGTTCCCCTCATGGTCCGGCTTCCCCTGCCACTCCATGCTGCTACCTCTGATACAGAGGCAGCAGCACGCAGTGGCAGTGGGCTCCCCAGGAATGGGGCCAGAGTGCTCTGGGCTGCTGACTCTGCCCCTGGGGATAATCAAATAGTCGTGTAACCACAAAGTTTTCATGCGGTTACATGACTACTCAATTATCTGCTATCTATCATCCTTACTGTCAACCTCTCAGCTTCACCCCACATCACCTCTACATTGGTGCAAATAGAAAACATTCAGCCTGCTCACAGCTGTAAAAAATTAGAGGGAACATTGGATAACATAAAACCCATTTTATATATTTCATACTTGCTTATATCAAAGTTGAAAGAAATCTTAATCTGAAAACATAATCTCATTTGCAATGTAAGTGCCAGAGTCACTCAGTTTCACTTTAAAGTTATCTCACCACTTCATAAGGCTATACTTCAGTGTACTGTTTGGTTATCATAACAATTGGAAAGGACATAATTTTTTACTAAGATAACTAACATTGATGAAGTTGGACGAGGGTGAACGTGACCCATTTCATGTACAAATATTATAGCTGAGCTTTTAGGACTTTTATCTTCTTAATGGAGATTTAAATTACTCATGTGCCAACAGTAATTTAGTAGGTATAGCTTCAGAATTGTTCAGTTATTTTAGTACATATTTAATATGGTCATTCCTGACTCAACAAAAAACCTGGAGCAGGTCTACTCTTTCTGCCAGTGGAAAATTTAGTTTGTTAACCAGAAAGTGTCTGGTTTCCTCAACATTTTTTGGTATTTTTCATTAGAAAACAAAAAAAACCAACTCTTTTTTTGTATTATTTTCAGCTCGCAAAAATTCTTTCCATTTTCATTTGTTTTTCAGCTGAAAATTTTGATGAAAAAGTTTTTAATCTAAATTTCAAAAAATTCTGACCAGCTCTAAAATCTTTCTCATGTTACACACTACTGCTTAAACTCTCTATTCATCCTTGATTTATGCATCACTAATGAAATAACAGTAATAACATCCTACCCAGGAGTTTCACAAGTCTGTTGACCACCCTGGCTCCACCCCAGAGCCTGCACCCCCACCAGAATCCACACCCCCTGCACCTCCAGGCCCAACCCTCTTCCCTAGGCCTGAACCCCCTCCCTCACCCCAACTGCCTCATTCCCAGCCCCAAGCCAGAGCCCTCATCCTCCCTGCTCCCTAATACTTTGCCCCAGCCCAGAATGTATAAGAATCTCTTTAAGGGATAGCAGGTCTCAGGCTCATACCTGTTGGTTGTCCTGTTTCCTGAGAGTGGGGAATTATTTGATTTATCAGCATCGCTACTGTCTGAAATTCTGCACAGAAATACAGAACAAAGTAAATTTTCACAGTACATTTAGATTAGAATAAAATATTTACAAATACACTAAAAATAACATGGCAACATCATCTATTACCTGGTGAGGCTACATAATAGGCATACAGCACATGAGATCTTGATAAATAAGAAAAGTATAGAACCTGAATCAAAATAATTTCAATGTCAGCATATTGCTGAAAAAAGATTACAAATTCTGAATGGTTAAATATGCTGTAAATACTACAGTCATCATTCAAATGTACTAATTAGATTTTTCCTTTAAACTGGCTGTGAACACTAGTGAAGATCAAACTGTTAGGAAGCCTTTTGATGAAGCAATGCTGTATATTTACAATCAAATGACTCTTCCACTGCCCAATATTCTTTCCTGATAGTTTTTAGAAATCAATGTGATCTGAAAATACTCTGGTACAGAATCAGTGATGGAACTGAGCTTTGACCTGCAGGGGTAACAGCTGCACATGATTTTTCATGTCTTTTATAAATTATATAGTCATTGCCTAAAACTTTTTCTAACTGTTAGTGAATTCAGAATTAAGATAAGATAGCATTTTAATCTTTCACTCCAGTCTGAGTATAACATGTATTCTAGGAGAACTGGTAACACTTACTAAGTTCTATCCTTATTCCATGTGTAGAATGCCCATTAATACCAATAGGAGTTCAGCACAAAGATCAAGTGTATAATACATACTTTAAGATTCATGATAAAATCTAAATTGAAAATGTT